ATAATCTTAGTACTATTTTATTTCGTGAAATGGACGCAAAGAAACTAATTGAGATGGTCAGAAAAGAAAGTTTCCTGTGTTGTATGACCAAATCCAATGAAAACACAGAAATACAGAATATAAAGACAGAATGATTTAATGAAATAAATAAAATAATAATCAAATAAATGAATTCCCTTTTAAAACATATTTTCCCATGCATTGTGATCCCACATTCTTCTGTGTGAAGATGAAAATCATCTCCTTCTGCGATGATTTCTTCGCCATTAACATCTTCTTCCTGTAAAGCAAGCGCTATCATCCCTAATTCAATTGTTTTAAAACTTCTTAACATTTTTTCTCAACGAAAGGATTTAAGCTTCGAACGATATAGCTTTGAAACTACTAAAGTATTGAGTGTTGTCCATGGTACGGACAAGTGGGGTCCTTCGTCATAATCACCGCAAGTCGGCCGACTGTTGGACGTGGGGTCCAGGCTTAAGGCGTTGTCACGGCATCATCACTGTAAGGTAAAAAGGTCAAGGGTTCGGGGGGACCACCATACTTATATACATACAAATAGACTTTTTTCAAAAACACCGGCATTCCGAGGGTTGATATGACCTACGCTATGCGAACCCTCGAGGGGGGGGGATGTGCATATTGAAACATATCCATTTTTTACATTTATTGTTTCATAAATATAGTATAAATTGTTTATAACGTCACCGGTTATACAGAATGACCGGATGTAACGTACAAAATTTCCGGTCCCGTGAAAAGTCATGAGTAAAAACAGCGAACCGATTATAACGAAAATAATCAAACAATAGGTGACTGAAGTTAAAAAAAAAATACTGGCCAAAAAAAGATAACAGATTACATACTACAATGATACTGTAGTCAAATAACTCTATTTCCTTTTGTACATACATATACATATTTGTATTGTTTTAAAAACATTTATGTAAATAAATTACTTTAGCGGGGTAGTATGTACTTTGTACTTCGTCATAAACCTGGATAATTTATATAATTACTTATATAATGATAACTTCTCTGTATAAAGGACATGTCTACCAATTAGATGAAATGTTCATACATAACGAACTGTTCACCAGTATAAGCGATATATGCTTATAGTTAATACCGCTTATAATGTACACAATTTTATTGCCCCCTAAAACGATTTATACTGTATATAACTTTAAAAGATGTGAATCGTTAGGAAGAAAAAGTGTGATTGCTTATTTAGTCGTATATATTTTTTTTTAATTTCGATACTTCTCGTCACCGTACATGGTCTTGACATCATAAGATTCCACATTACGAAAAGTATATTTTGTTTAATTTTGGGTCGTACATCATTCCGACATTCGCCTTTCACCGTGGGAATGGTTGTGGAAACAGGAAGGATCCCGATAGGCAAATCAATACTGTTAGCCACTTCTGTACGAATCTGGACAATTTTCAACGTGTTCCAATAGTTATAATAAACAAACCTAAAATTAGTGTTATTTTTTAATATAACTAATAAAAGTAATAAGGGGATCGCTGTTGGGGCGTCCTACTCGAATTTGCCACGCTAACCGTTCTGGGTTCCCATCCCGGCAGAACTTTTTATATAATTGCTTTTTTTTATTTGATTATAGCATGAAAAATGCATTGCAAAGCGGGTTGAACCGTCAATACCATACTGTTATAAGAAGTGGATGTTGTCAAGGCAAATATATAAGAAAACGAAATATTTAATTGTAATTCAATAGGTTCATACATAAAATCGTTATATATTTAAGATTTTGTAATGTGAGAGACTTTTTAACATTTCGATTTCTGGTTTAAACCAATACCAGGAATAAGAAAAAAGAATTTTCTCATATTTCCAACTTAAATAAGTCCATATGTAGATGTTTTTATTTGCATGTTTAATTATTGATTGGTCGTTTATGACATAAAAAGCTAAGGTTTTTATCTCTTGTCCATTTATTGATAAAACGTTTAATTAAACAGCTTTCCGGAAATTCAAATAATTTTGCTTAAAGAAATTATAATTTCCTACAATGCACTTTTTTTAAACAGTACAGTTTTTGTGAGATTTTTCTCACCGATAGTTGTGATCCGTCTATTCTCGCTGTGTTGGTCTGTCAGGCGCGCTTCGCCATCATCAGTGTTGTGTCATATCATGTATCTTTTTTTAATATCGTGAAGGTGGGTGTGTGTTTTGGTGCATTAAGTGGAGTTTTTATTGTTCCAGTCGATCATTGTTATCGTATGTTCTTTCCTTTTTAAATAGTATAGTGTTTTGATTGGTATAACCCTAATACAGACAGTGAATGAACCGCATTCACGTACATACGGAAAGAAACATACAAACGAATAAATCTATTCGCAAATTGGAAATTAAAACAGCACTGAAGATCACGAACACAATCAGAAAATTACTAAGACAAAACGTCAAAACCAAAATTCTTGGCAAAAATGGCATAAACGCCATAACGTGCGAATGCAAAGACAAATACTTCAAATATACAGGGCAAACAATAACAAAAAACAGATAAAATCCATCCCTAACCAAAAACATCAAAAAAGAAAACACGAACACACACACACAATGACACACCATAACGTTTTTGTCAAAACCAAAATTCTTGGCAAAAATGGCATATACGCCATAACGTGCGAATGCGAAGACAAATACTTCAAATAGACAGGGCAAACAATAACAAAAAACAGATAAAATCCATCCCTAACCAAAGACATCAAAAAAGAAAACACGAACACACACACACACACACACACACAATGACGCACCATAACGTTATAAAGATAGACTTGACTTTACAGAACCACACAGACACTGAAGATGGCGGATTGCCGAAACGCGACAAACTAATTAACCAACCTGTGGTGGCCAGATCTCGTCTTCTCAACACAGCCGACTTGGCTATACTAGCCAACTGTTTCACTCACTTCCTTTCAACCGCTGCAGTCCACCGACTCATGGGTCCCGGACTCCAGCCAACACACACACATGAGTCCTGGCCTCGATTCATCGTCCCAACGCTACAAAAACGACACCGGCTCTTCTCAGGGCCTCCAAAAACCCCCAGCCACCAAATAAACCATTAATGTTAGACGGTCCAAGTCAATCAATGATCAACTTACAAGTTTATAAATTTGTTAAGCGAGGTAGCTCAAGGGCCAAGTTTATGTATATTTTTGCCAAGTCACCATCTTAGCTTTGCAGTACTAATTAAAAAACGCCGCTTTTCCTTAACTTATTCTTTTAATGTGTCTTGTTGGAAACAATATTTGGCGAAATAATAGTCCTGTTTTCAAGCCCCAGTCAAATACAATTTCTTCGATTGTTCTTTTTTTCAACTTTTTAAATGATTCACAATCTAAGGTAAGGTAGAAGGTCAAGACAATTTTTATCACGTGACCTTCTAGGGTTTGCCTTACGAAAGAAAAATTTTCCGTCGTTGCATGCCACAGATACATTTAAACAAGAAATAAATGAAGAATATTTTGTTTTTTTCTATCCTGTCAAATACTTTTTTTCAACCCCCTGTTAAGAATTAGTTACCATTTCGTCTAATTACAAAATATTATCTTATTTTTCGTCACTTACTGCTTAGGTAAAGGTTAATGTTAAAAGGAGTTGGCCTTATTACGACCTAACACACCCCTACCGATATTAAATAATACATGCAATCTTCATTATTATCTAGAGCGCTTCGTTAAGCGTTTTATCAGATCCAAAGCTTTCTTAAAGACTCTCGTGAATATACTTAAGGCCGTGACGCTTCCTCTCTCAGAGCCCTGTTTCATAATTAAATACAAACTAATCCTGTTAGTATAGAAGCTTGTAATGTTACAATTTTATTTCATAATAAAAAGTACAATGTATTACTTGTAAAGTCGAAAATACACGAAAAACTGTTTAAAATAGAAGGAATTCCATTTCATGAACAGCCGTTAACAATACAAATATTTGTAAAAACCCGTCTTTATTGTACTATTAATACGGCCTCAGATTGCCTGTATTATGAAAATATTGATTAGGTTAAATTAGGTGTAGTTAGGTCTTCCTCATTATGAAATATAAAATATAGGTGTTTGCACTTTGTAGTTCGTGTCTTGTATATTTTGATAATATTATTAGTAGTATTACGAAATAGGCCCTAGCAGTAGGAATCTCAGTCTGTTTGTACTGCTGCGATTTTATAGATATGCTACCTGAGCCTGCGGTCATTTAGTCTTAACAAATCCTAGATTTAGTAATTATGCCACTAGTTCTGCGATGGTCTTTATCGAACTTTTTCAATTCTATCCTTGATTACAATTCTATTGAATCGAGGACTAAATCATAAACTGTCTGATGGAGCTACCACAATAGGGTTCAGGGTGGATAGGAGTCCCAATCGAACTTTTCTTGGCCAATTTATCGGTTTCCTCGGTGTTTGTGAACCTGGTGATTTGTCAGCCGTGTGTGCTTTGGTAGCTAAACAAGAATAATTTTGTTGTTGTCCTCAAAGTCAGACATACCATTAACTACTAAGGAATAAATTGTCATGTTGGCTTTTTAAATCAAATTAAATTACATTTCTCTTTAAGTATGATTGGATAATCCATTTTATTTTTTTAAAATGAAAAATATAATCTTAGTGATATGTTGATCTCCTTTGTTAAATGTATAGATATTTTCGTTCTAATGAAAGTCGCAAATAATGCACGATTTCCTAATAATCTCTCTAAATATTTTAAGCGCAATTTTTTTTTTTTTTTTTTTTTTTTTTGTGAAATCGTATTAAGAAATCGGTTTGTTAAGTTCTTTTGGCTTTTACCAATAACAAAGTTATTGCGATTAAAAAAGTAAGCAGTTATTGCGATTAAAAAAGTATGCATTAAGAATAAAAAATGACTAATTAAATTCTCTTCTATAGAAAATAACATATGTTGTGAAAACTCATATGGTTTGTTTTATTTTTAAGCATCTTTCGGCCATTTTTATACATTTCTAAATTCGATCAACTACTGTAGAAACAATAAGAAAAAAACGTGTATTCTTTATAATAAAAATTTCGAAATATGCGGACGTCAACTCTTTATTTTTTCTCTCTATAATAGACTTGAACGATAATATTTTAAAATCTAAAACCAAAAAACATTCTAACATGGCTGACTGTGTAATCGGAGAGGATATTGTCAAAACGTTTTCGTTAGGCATTGCTTGTTCCTTTATGCTGTTTTATGTTGTGCAATGATTATAGTATTGTATAAATAAAATGATAGCAAAACGTTGACCCTGATTGAGATTAGGTTGTCTAATAAATCGTTAATTTTTACATTTTTTCGGCCATTCGTCAGACCTGCACGGATTTCGAATTTCTTTCAATTTATCTACCTAGAGGTCAAGTCTCAATCAATAGAATCAGCATAATACTCCCAGCAACATTCAGTTTTGAACCGCGTTGAGAAAATAAAAGGTAAGAAACGTCTTAGTGCCGATGGGAATTTAACTTTTAACGCATATATAACTTTTATTTAATATAAATAATTAAAATCATTAAATTAATTTAATATTAGCCATAAGGCATTTTACATCTACCTTTAACTTAATAATTTCCAACATATGTACACTTAAAGACCGAAAACCGTTTACCCTTATTTTTTGTTTATTTTAAACTATATGTACGTATTTTTATTGTTATATTAATTAACTTAATAAACAATTTCTTTAATTAATAAATTACTAAGAGCAAAACAAGGTAATAAATAGTTGAATTTATTCTATCACTGAACGATTTTCCGGTGTTTTGGTGAATTTTCTTTCATACTATCATAATTAAATGATTTTTATTAAAACTCATGAATTTCTGATCTCTTTTAATTTGATTTACATTTAAATATCTATGTTTTAATTAATGATTTTTATGGTATATGTTTGCAATTTGCCTATGTTGAATTTGCTTACTATTTTATAATTAGAAATAAGGTTTGAACTTAGTTGTCCCGTTCATTTTTAGTTCTATCGTTTTACATAATAGGTTCAATTATTTTTTTAAATTGAAGATAATGTCAATAATACATGTGTTTACTATTAATTCTTTCTTTTATTTACCAGTTGATTTTGTTTTACATTTTTATTTATTTAAGCTATTTCATATCTTTACGAATTTTTAATTTGTTAAAACCATACTTCATTCACTGTTATAATGGTATGGATAGACCGCTCTTGTAAGTCCTTTTACAACGTAAGTATCGGTATAAGATGTTTCCTATAATCACGTTTTTGTTTGCAGCCATGAATGACACAGAGGTTTTAGTAACTTGCCCATATAATCGTGCCCATACCATCATTAGAAGTAGGATGCAATTTCATCTGACAAAATGTCGCCAGCAGTCAACATGCTACACTGACATGGTCACATGCCCCTTTAACTCTACTCATGTTGTCAATAGAGTGGAATTAGACGTATGTATTAAATTTCTTCTTCAATTAACATTATAACAAAAGATTTTTGCTCTACCCTCACATCCTTTTTTTTTTTTTTTTTTTTTTTTTTTTTTTTTTTTTTTTTTTTTTTTTTTTTTTTTTTTTTTTTTTTAAGTTCTGTTGGCTTATATTATCAATCGTCAATTTTATAGCCTATTTGTCTGAAAATTGGAATAATAAGAGAAGATTGAGATTTCTCTGTTTCATACGGTGTGTTGGAACTATAACTTGAACACGGATCATCCTGGTCTGCGTATCCTGTTGAACTGACAGACATGTTTTGGCATTTAGCCATCATCAGTATCGGGTCTTTTGGAGGATCTTTCTCCATGTGATATGTGGGTTAAAGGCAATATTGTTTTCGATCATTTGGGTTTCTCTACCCTCATTTCACAGAAATTACACAAACACAGAAGAAGGCGAAATGCCAAAGCACTTTTGATAGACCAATACAGTGAATATAGGGATGCCAGGATGATCAATAACAACCAAATTATTCTATAATTTGATATTAAAAATCTGTGTAATGCCAAAAAAGAAGAAAAAACTCAGTTCCTGTATCCATATTTTGAGAAAGGTATCACCTTCAATAGGACTTTAAATCTATATAATTTGTAAGTGTTGTCTTTTAAATTTCCCTTATCCCTGATTATTATTGATTATCGAAGATAGTAACACTATTTAAAATTCAATTAATAAACTTTTCATTTAATAAATGGTTGATGTTAATGGTTACACTACATATTTACTAAATTCAGGTCTTATTGATCCCTGAATTAGTGCAGAATTGTAAGAATATATTAGTTGAAATATTGTACAGTGTTTGCAAGTTAATAATTCATAAGAATAATAGAAGCTGATTAATTAATTTCCTCTTTTTTAATAAATGACAAAATTTTATTCTGATGGTAGATTTCTCCTTGCAGTTAGAGAAATGAATGATGAACATGTTTGGTCATTTCTGATCATCATGGTCTGTCCAATACTGCAGTTTTAAACAGTGAAAATAAGCAGTTCAGATAGGTACAAAAAAGAACAAATTTCATTAAAAAATGTATCTGAAATTTATCCACTGAAACTTGGTACTTGAAATATGAATTAAACAAGCTCTGCAGTTATGAAATTTTGTGATTTATTTAGTCTAGAGGTGTTTTACTTTCATAATAATTATTCTCTAATCTATGAGCCTCTAAAGTGGTATGTATTTTACTGCTTTATCTTGTATCTCATCTTTTCCTTCCTTTTCTTCATTTTCCAAAAGTGGGTGACCACTTAGTACATAGCCTATCTATTCCTTTTATAACTATAAATTTTCCATTACTTCCTTTATGCCTTCCTCTCTTAATGTTGTGTCTCCTATTTTATCCTTTATTGTAAAGCATTTTTTGAAAATTTATGTTAAAAATAAAATAAAATCACACGATTAAAAGAAGGTGGCAGCTTTGGTGGGCCAGGTTAGAAGAGAAGCTCTAATTCATCAATAGCACTGTTGATAGGTGGCCCTCGGAGGATCTTACTCATAAAAGAGGTCATCCTCACCCAATTCATAAGGATAGGCCAAGCAAGGTTGACACACGGTTACTTTCAGGCCAAAACCCACGTATATGTCCGGCCTGTATATATTCTGCAGAGAAAGGTTGCTCGATGTGTCCCCCCTAATTGAAGGGTGCAATTCCTTGGCTCCATATAGAGAGTGTATAGGAATGCCACCCAGTATGAGAATTGTGCTTGAGCCTAACAATCCCCGTTCTGATTTTTAGGGAAAACAGGTTTGTATTATTTCATATAATCATTATAGTATTTTGTGCATATATTTGAGGTTCTTAGCGGACATTGAGTGTCCCATCGGCCCTCAGTTAGGTTAGTTATAAAACATGTGTAAAGGGTGATGGAGAAATTAATCCACCACCTAATTGAATGAAAGGTATGTAAATAAGAGAAAAAATAAAGAAATAACTTTTTGTTATTTAAAAATGAACATGAGTATGAATGGGTTTCAAATTAACACTTTTTTATTTGTCTTCATCGATCAGCACATAGAATGTCAGAGAATCTTATGAAAATTAGGTAGTTTTTGATTTATAGAATTTTTGCATTTTCCAGTTTATTTTTTTTTTTTTTATAAATACCTCTTCCATTATATAATTGAACAGATAGAACAACTAGGGTTAACTGTTACTAAACACGCAGAGAAAAATAAAAAGGTTTATTATATTTTAGGTTCACCAAGAAATATGCCCAAATCGAATAGTTTTGGACTCAGTTCTCTCTCCAATTGGAGATTCTACCTCACCACAAGGAGTAGTGCCTGTCACTAGTGAAATACCAATCCCAGAGTCTGATGAAAATTGGGATGATGTAAGAGAAACAAACAGTAGTCATAATTATTTGGAGATCGTGAGATGCAGTCTTGTGCGATGTTGGTTCAGAAAATCATTTTCTTTATTGTGCCAATGTTTCGATCTTTATTTAGATCATCTTCAAGGCTCAAAGTGTGTTTTCTGTGTAGATGTGTCATGGTTTAAATAACAATTGAAACATTGCCACAATAAAGAAAATGTTTTTCTAAACCTACATCACACAAGACCACACCTCATGATCACCAAATTATCACTAAATATACACAGTAATAATAATTTAGTTTAACTTGTCTTTAGGATCTTTTATGATGAAAGATTTTTTTTTAATTTTCTCTACCTATTTTCATAGTTTGCATGTCACATTTTATTAATATAAAAAAATTATGTAAATGGCTGTTTAGTGAGAATAGGCGGTTCAGAAATGATTATTTTTTCAACTGTTCAACTAGATCACCTGCCATGACTTAAAAACTCATTAAATATTATATACTTTGATTTTTATCCAAAATCAAAATAAATATTTAGAGATCCATTCAAGTTTACATCCTGCTTAATTTACAAATATGACAATGTGAATTAAAGCACTATTTTTAGAATCCAGTTGAAACTTCAGTGTTAGATGTAGTCAAAACAAGTGCTAAAGATAAAAGTGTACTTCTTAATTTAATTGGAGCTCCAAAATCGGAAAGGAAGGCACATAGAATCCAGGAAAGAATTAGATTTCAGCAAGTTGCTGGGCAAGAAAGAAGATTCCAATATGGGGTAAAGGTTGTTTCTTTTTTTAGTTTTCATCTTATTTATTACAAAATTGTGCCTATGATTTAAAAATGAACTTACCCTGCAACTTTTTCCTGCTCTATTTCAGTCCTTACTTCTAACTTATATTTGTTTGCTTGTAGAACAATAGTAACTTCAGTTACAATAACTACAGTAACTACAATAACTTTAATAGTTACAATAGAAAAAAAGAACAGTTGGAAAAAAGGGTAAGATTTATTTAAGATTCTAACTTAAATTTACCTTAAATCTTAGAAGTCATAATAAGTATAAAGTCTCATCTAATTAAGCTATTGAGAAATATTTAATAATTTAATTTTTAATTTATAAATGTATATGTTACATTACAAGTCAATCATATTGTTATTTAATAATTTTAAATTTAAATTTAAATATTGAATTTAAAGATTATTTCTCAATTTTCATTTGATTTAGTAAAGTACTCAAAGTTTATGTTTGTAATTACTACAAGAATGCTAACTATGTTTTCCTGACAGGAAAGAAGGCCAGATTTTACTTACAATAATGGAAAATGGTTCCAGACTATTTTCCAACATGATTACCGACTTAAAAATATAGATTTTTTCAAGACAACTAACCAAATGGTAAGGAATGATAAACACCCAGGGATATTTGAGCAGAAGAAAGAAACGGAATATTTTAAAAAGCAACAATATTGGTATTCTAAACCGCAGGAAACTTGTGCACGAGTGGAAAATTTTCAGCAATCAAAGCTTAATGGGGAAAACTTACGACCGTTAAAAATGGAGTTGCCATGGAGGATTTTCAGGAAACCCGATACAACATTGAAAAAGAAAATTCTATGTATCCCCGTTTCTGGAAGAGGTCGTTCAAAAGAAACTCTACCAAAACAAGTAGGCAAAATTGTTAACACAGTTTGATTTTAACGATCCGATTGTGGTTTTTTTTAAAATGTGGTTCACAAATAAATGGTTTCTATTGTTCTAAACAATGTGAAACGATGAAAATAATTGCTTGCATTTTGTTTTACAAAATAAGCATTTACAATTAATACCAACATTTAATTGTTATTTATTCAATTTACCGATTCTGCACTTTTGGGCAAAACTGGAAAAATCAAATGAAATAAGTGCATATTCCAGTAAGCTTTTAGTGTGACAGACTGAATATAATTATTATTTTTTATTTATTTATTAATTTATTTTTTGATTTGTTTTGGAACATTCAGCAAGAGTATGGACCTGTGAAATATCAAATTCCATTTTTTTACACGACAAGAAATTCAGAATCATAAAGCAATAGATAAATAACAAGTAACGAGAGAAATAAATATTAATCAACCACAATAAGAACTAAAGTATATAATTATTAAGTCAAGAAGATATAGTGGTTTTTAATACAACTTGCCTTATCTCATTTTACCCAACAAGCAGATCAAAGGGATACATAACATGAATAGCCCAAGTGGTGGTACAATAAGTTGGCAAGTGCCATAAATTTAAGTTAAAAACTAGATAAGTGTTGGTGCATAATGTAATAAGTACCAAAAAATCATAATTAAGTAAATTATAGAACTTATTTACTAGGACAATTACATTCAATCTGACTAAACTTTTTTCCTAAGTTTTACTTAATTCCAATGATGGTTTAGTTATTAAACACAAACGGTTTCAGAATTGTGATCTATTCGTGAGTTAGCGCCTATACACAAACAAAGATTTCTTACATTTTTAGACAAACATGGTTATCATTGTTTCTTTACTACTTACAGTGGTTAAAACAGTGATCAGCTTATTTTAAAATAAGCTATTATAAAATATTAATGACTGAAGACCACTGTTTTAACCACTGTTAGTAAAGAAAATGATAACGATGTTTATCTAAAAATGTAAGAAATCTTTGTTCTGTGTATAGGCACTAACTCATCTGAGGAAGGATTACAATAAATTTGAAATGTTGTGGATTGAAAAAAGCTGGTAGTTGTGTTTTGAGATGACCTATTATCCCACCTTCGAGAAGGAAAAATCAGAAGTTAAACTGTTCAGGTCGAAATAAAAAACATCGATAAGATAAATGCTCGCAAATTAAACAATTTACAACAAATTTTCTCAACAGCTTCTCTTGTTTCTTACTACTGTTACTTTACTTAACTTCTACCTCTGTTAAAAAAAAGGGAAATAGTAAAATTAAAACATTATTACAATGAGGCCCTGGAGAACTATATGAAGAGGTTATCAAGGGTATCATCCCCATCCCTCAGGGTTTCATCCTGGGCCCTCTGTTGTTTTCATAAATGACATCTCAACTACTCTTTTCAAAATACCATCTTTTTGCTGATGACTTTCTAAGTTGATTAATTCAATATATCTAAACAATTTCTTATTTCCATTTCAATTTGGGAAAATAATAATTTGATTAATATTAATGCATTAAAATCACAAGTTATCATTGTTTCTTTACTACTTACAGTGGTACGTAGGGTATTTAGGTATTTAAATAACTTTTGTTATTTAAAAAAAAGTTTGGAAATTTATTGTTTTCTCACTATTTTGATTGGAAAATTGATTGGAAATTCCCTTCAGATATTAAATGAAGAATCTTGGCTTGCAATCTCAATTGGAAAACTTAAGTCAGTCATATTTGCTGCAATTTTGTATAAGTTTTTGATTGTTGGTTGTTTAAAATTATTGCCTTGCATATTATGGCCTGTTAAGTAAATAATAAATACAGTTAGGTTAAATACAATATGGTTCTCTTTATTCCCTAAACTAACTTTCTTATCTTCCACCTTGTTATTATCTGATAATTATTTAATTAATTTATTAACAATCGTTTGTTAATTATTCATAAGCGCTTTTACAATTTAACTCACCTAAATATTGTAATCAACAATCATTTAATAATACAATTTCATTATTACTAACGATTTTATTGCAAATAAAATTAATTTATGAGGTAAATTGTGTTTAGTATGTACACATTAAGTATCTACATTTTAAATTTTATATAAGTTTTTGATTGTTGGTTGTTTAAAATTATTGCCTCGCATGTTATGGCCTGTTAAGTAAATAATAAATACAGTTAGAAGATTAGATGGTTTGTATAAAAGCCACATAAAAGGAATTTTATGTAAAAGTCTCGATCAAAAATTAATCTTTTGAATTAAAAGCAATTTTCATCTTATGATACTCATAGCCAGGCAATCAATTGACGTTTTAGGTTCATGCTTTCCTGGAAATATTTTTAAAAAGTCCGCTCTTACAGAGTTACAGAAATTCTATAGTTCAGCTACAGAGCACTCACTTGTCGTGTGCAGATATGATGTATTTCGTATCGATTTGTTTATTGTTGTAGTATCAGGAGTCAGGACAAGGTGTTCATTGTTATGCACAAAAGTGCTATTATTACAAGTAATACCTGCGATGGTAAACAGCAACAAATCTCTCAGAGAAGTGCAGGAAAACAAGAAGCCACCCAGATTTAAGTTTAAAGAAGGTCACTTGACTCAGCTTATAAGTAAAATATTTTATTACTATTATTATTGTTTTTCAGGCGAGAGAGTACTTTGTTTTCACGGCCCTTTGATTTATGAAGCGAAGTGCCTACAAACGAGGATTGAAGATAAAGAAATCCAGTATTTAATACATTATGCTGGTTGGAATAAAAGGCAAGATTATTTGTAAATTGCTTTAAACAAAAATTTATTTTAACCACTGTCTTGACTCATTGTCTGTAGTATAGTAGTCGTTCTGGCATTGTTCAGCAAATTGTTTAATAAGTAATAGTTAATTTGAAAGAAAACAGTCGGCTTGAAGTGAACGTACTATTCATTCAGCTGAATGTTCTAGCTATAGTTCTATTTATTTAGTTAACTAGAAAATTGTTCAGAAGTCTATGAAACTTAAGGCAAAAATGCAGTATAACTGAGAAAACAGGGGAATTCAAAGATTGGTCAGGATTATCATCTCGATAGTATTATAGATATCTTTTTAAACCCCAGTGGTTGTGTGGTTAGGGCATCCGACTCGAATTTGGTATGCTATTGGTTCTGAGTTTGAATCCCAGCATGGGCGTTTATTGCTTTAATTATCCCTCCTCTACTATGGTGGTTTTAGATCACTCATACAATACTGTTGGGTCGGATCTGACCCTCCCCCCCATATTTTAGAACCCTTTTTTCCCCCAAAAACGCTTTGAACGCGTAGAAAATGGATACTAACATTTTTATAAAGGAAGAAAATATATATATATATATATTATGCAGGGCGGGCGAACAGTACCCGAGGGGTTAAAAGCATAGGTAGGCCCGTACCCCATCCCTAAAAGGTCACAAACCCCAAGATTTTGGACCATTTATCTTGGGGAGTGTTTTGGTTATGTCCTCTCCTTCGAAAGTTTCAAATCTTTCCCTAGCATACCTATCACATTCTGCAAGGTAGTGCCAAGCTGTTTCTTCCTTTGTTTCACAGAAGCGGCAAAAGGAAGATTTAAACCAACCTTAAATTAAAGGAAGAAGATAACAAAATTAACAGCATTTCAGTCAAATATAATTTTTATTTACAGATTAAAATCGGTTCTGTAACCTTAGGTCTGGTAAATCAGTTTTACAATTTCAGACACAAAAAATATCACAATTCTGTTAAAAAATACACAATTTGAACGTTAGATAAAAATATAAAAAATTAACATGAAATGACAAGAAAATTATCACAACCATCACAAAATTTCTAAATCATAATCACAAACTTTCTACATCGTAGGTCGAGGAACATTCGGGGCAAATCAAAACTTTGTTTCCCACACATCGATTTTTCACAGTATGCACAATATGAGTTTCCTGTCCTGCCGATGACGCAGAAGTCGCACCGTCTCCTTTTTTTGGTCGTACTAATGTATCCTGTCTTTTTAGCTTCTTGCCTAGCTGTTCATGTATCATCGCTCTTAGATTCCTCGGAAGACGTTCGTTAGAGAATCTTTTCTCCATCTAAGGCATAGCCAATGCAATGACTAAATTTTTGAGAATCGTTGACTGTATCGTGTTAGGGTATGGCTAAAATGCAAAACGGGTTAAATAATAAAAATTATTAGAGCATAAGTTATACTAAGGTGGGGTCAAATCTGACCTACACATTTCTACTATAGTTCGGTCTGATCCGACCAAAGGGGGGATAAGTGAAGAACGGTACATACTTTATCGATGTGATTGAGCCAACAGCTTCCGCACAACAGAGGAGGAGGTGCCCATGGGTGACAGATTGACGCACACTATATGTTGGCCGAGGCATGTCATAAAAATTTCACCTGGGTCGGATCCGACCCTCCATAATAGAGGAGGGTTAATATTACCATCTTATTTGGAGATCATGAGATGTGGTCTGGTGTGACATAGATTTTATGAAAATATTTTCTTTATCGAGCCAATGTTTTGATATTTATTGAGATCATCTTCAAGGCCTGGGATTTATAAACATTGTTTAAATTATACCAATACATGTAGGATTTGAAAAAAATGAATTTGTATCTGTATAATTTAAAATATGTTTATAAATTCCAGGCCCTGAAGATGATCTCAATAAAGATCGAAACGTTGGCACGATAAAGAAAATGTTTTTCTAAAACCTACGTCACACCAGACCACATCTCAAGATCTCTAAATAATTATTATCTAAGTCACTAAACACCACACATTACCATCTTAAGCGGAAAAATCTAGGATGATAAATTTATGTCAAGTAGAGCTTAGTTTGTAGATCGACACACATTATCCTTCTCACAGATTTATTTTAAGAGAGGGGCTGTAGTGAATTTGAATCCAAAAATTGTAATAGTCTGTTCCTTGTTTTTCATACAAAGCTGAAAACAATCGGAATTATTGCCTACAGTCTGATACTTTGCCATTAAGGAGAATAGGCCGTGATTAGGCTGGGATGATCAAAATTTATACAGAAATGTAATTGTAACTATATTTTGGTCTGATACAATTCAGTGTTTCAATCTTTAGTAAAGTAACACTGTGATGTTTCTATGAGCAGCCTATTGTAACCGAATAATTTCATAGATAGAGTTTTAGGTAAACAAATAAATAAATAAAAAATAAATAAATTCTTTCTTTCAAATTGGTCCTTTTTTCATAATAGGGGATAATACGGAAATGCTCCCTCGCTTGCTTTATGTTTTCCGTTAAAAAGCCATGAAAACAGCAAGAAAATATTTTTAATTATTAATTTTTAGTCAATAATTTGAATATTTGAAGATTGTGAGATGCTGCCTGATATGAATGATAATGATTATTCGAAGATCGTGAGATGCAGTCAGATGTGATGTAGGTTTTAGAAAAACTTTTTCTTTATCATGCCAACGACACGCGAGAATGGCATAATTACGCAGAAAACAAACACTTTCAGCCCTGAAGATTATCTCAATAAAGATAGAAACGTTGGCACGATAAAGAAAATGTTTTTCTAAAACCTTCATCACATCTGACTGCATCTCACGATCTTCGAATAATCATTATACAAACTAATTTTAATACCTTACTTATTAGAAATGAAAGTTCATAAATATTTCTAAAGTAATTTGAAAATGGTTTACAAATCTAAAACAGTACTGGTTTGTATTTTAGCTGGGATGAATGGGTAGCTGAGTACAGGGTACTTAAATACAATGAAAATAATGTTCAAAAGCAGAAGGCACTACACAAGGCTCACAAACTCGAGCCGTAAGTTTCATAATAACAGTCCACTTCTAGGGCTACGGAATAATTAATCGAATGACTTAGGAAGGGCAAAGGGAAGAAAAGGGTACGAAGTAAGGATGATTCTGGTAAGGAAGGCGATGCCGATGATAGCAGGAGCTCCACACCCATCAGATTCACCGGTCGTTGGAGCGGATCCGGTAACTCTTCATCACCTGAGTCGGCCAGTGACAGCCCCAAAAAGAAAATGTCAAAAGTCGACCCTACAATTGAAACTGTATGTAGTGTAACATTAGCCAAAGCAAATTAATTTACATTCTTCGCTATGGGTTGAAAATTTAACCAAGTTATTTTTCTCAGGAGGCACAGTTTTCATCCCGCCTTGAAATTAAAATCAAACTACCAGATGAACTAAAACCTTTACTAGTTGATGACTGGGAGAACATTCTTGCAACCAGGGTGTTTGTTTTTTCTTTTTCTTTTTTTAATTAAAAAGGAAATATAATTGATCAATATTTGTCTTGTTCAGTTGGTGAAATTACCAGCCAAAATCACCGTAGACAAAGTGTTGGAAGATTACCTCAAAGCCATGTCGGCTGTTAAAAACTACATCAACCCAGCTCAAAAGTCAGTAAATTATTAATATTTTTAAAATCTACCTTTATGAACCATTTTCATGTTAAAAAAGTGTTATTTTTCATATGGTATTGCATGCGTTAACCACTACTGTGTATATTTTTTTTCTCTCTTCATTAAAGTATAGTAAAAAAAACTTAGTAGTTGTATGTGTCAGCCTGTGAGTTAGTGGACACATTTTGAACCAGTATTGGGTTGCTTATTGATTCCGCCTACACTAGCGGATTTTTATGTTTCCAAATGTGTTTTGACTTTGTGCCATCTTTAGGGAGGAACTGTTAGACGGACCCAGTAAGTGACTCAGTGCTGATTTAACAAATAACTCTATAACGAGTTTATAGTTTGCACAAAATGAGAAAATTACTATCTTCACTGTATTCCAAAATTCTACATTTATGTTACTGCTGTTATTTGAAATAATATAATAGTATTTATATCTGTATAAGTTAAACTGTCAAAACTAAAATGTGTAAATAGCATGTAATACTAAAAATACTTTCATGCATGATGAAACACATGATCTACTTGATTTGGGTTTTATATATTAATTTGGTAATTGCCTGCCCTTGTTTGGTTGTACTGTCTGACATTTGCTATCTTCCACTTTTGCCATTTATTCTTCTACTTTTGTTTTCTGTAAAATCAAATTTTTAAATTTAAACAGCGAACTCAATTATCAGGTAGCAAAAGAAAACCATAGCATTTATCAATAATTCAATTTTTTCCCTCTTGTGCTTTGAAGCAATGTTTATTTATTTATTTTTTTAATGGCCGGCTACCGACAGTGAAGTCCAACCACCAATTCACTGTAAAGGCCGGGGGTGCAATAGAATTTTAAAATTAAAAAAAAAAAAGAACCAAAAAACCTGCATTTATATAAAAATAAATCCTCAGCATGATATTAAGCTGTGCCTTATTAGCATTTTGAAGATATTGCTGTTTTGTACATATTTTTTCTTTTCTTAAGGGAGACTGTAAGGCAGGAGGTGGTTCGTGGAATCAAAGATTATTTCAATGCTATGCTTGGTTCTCAGCTTTTATACGAGATAGAACGGAAACAGTTTAATGAAGTAAACAAATTTATTATTAAACTCGCTGGTAATTTGTACTTTCTTCAATTCATTTTTGTAAATTCTAGGTAATGAAGGAACAGTCAAGCAACACACAACCCAGTGCTGTCTATGGACCTATTCATCTCTTAAGGTTTTTCGGTTAGTATTGAATATTGTTAAGCTTCAATTAATAAATTATTTGGAGTTATCCTGTTTTCAGTTAAATTGGGACAAGCATTAATATATACAAAGTTGGATGAGAAAGGAGTCCAATTTCTTTTAACTCATCTTAATGAGTTTTTAAGGTATTTCTAATTTACATTTTATATTTTGATCCCAAAACTCACCCTATGTCCTTCCTGCCTTAGGCAACCATTGAAAAACTTCTCAATAGCTAAAACAGTTAACAACCTACTTAACCATCAGTGTAATTTCTGCTCATTTCACTACTCTTAGAAGTGCATCACATTGTAGGCACCATATCATCCTCTCTTGAACAGAAACAGTATTGCTCAGGTGTTTTTTCGATGTGGTTCAAGTGGGAATTCAAGGTTTTTTTTTCTTATAATATAACTGTAATTACTTAAACCCTATCTGTCAGACCAATACAGCCACCAATATTTCTCAGGGAGACTCCCTTTTCTCCTTATACAGTGGAAATTCGTTTATCCGGACTTGAAGGAACTGTGACCTGTCTGGCTGTCTGGATGACTGAAAGTCCGGTTAATCCGAAAATTTAAGATTTTATTAGGATCATGTTATAAAACAGAGCTTAAAAAAAAAATATTGTACACTTTTATTTATATATCTACATTTAAAATAATAGATAGTATTGACTTTTGTTTAAGTCTGAACACACATTTTGCGAAAAATTTATACATAAAACAATACCCAATAAAAATATATATAAAAAAAAAACCTTTTCGATGGAAGCCAATATACGAATAAGACAGCAATTTCTAGTCTTTTAATATAGGATACACTTTTTGTATTATTTTTTAACAAAAATGTGACTATCGACCTCTCTGATCGTGTGACTAGTGGAAGGGCGATTTGGCGGCCTTTATGAATTTCGAACAATGAATTAAAGGTCCCATAGTTGACTTATGAATTTTTTAAAATTAATATACATACCTTGAGAATTATGAAAAATTTATGAATAATTAGCAAGCGGGTCCAGATAATGCGGAAGTCTGGATAATTGGGGTCCGGATAAATGGGTTTCCACTGTATTCCCATTCTAGCGTGTTTCCCCAGAACAACATCCTAGGGCCCTTACTGTTCACAACATACACAGCAGACATTCCTGTCCTCTCTAACAGTAGTCACTCCATTCCTGATGGCATTAATCCTTTATTTCATATATTAATTATTTTGATTTAAATGCATTATTTGCTCACAGGTTCGTATTAAAGAATGCCCAGTCATATTTTAGCCTACAAGATTACGGTCCTCCCAAAGCAGATGTGCCACAACAGCATTAATTTTTTCAAGTTTTATTTAGATGTCATGTACATAGGTTAAATTATAAAGTATGATTGTTGAGTTTTGATCAGTTAGTAGTGGTTCCTTTTTAATGTAGAATTATTCAATGGCATATAAAATTCTACTACTATATTACTATTATTATTTTAATTTATAGCAGTTTTAAATTTTAAAAATAAACCCTGATTTTAGTGAACAGTGAAAATGTGGTTAGTTTTTACCCTCTCGTACCATAAATAAATGGAATTTCAAAAATTGAAACAAGCAATAAGCATTAACTAAAATGTTTATATAATCCAAAGTATAAATCATTACTTTAATTAAAGCAAATTATTAACTTGTATAACATTTTTGAAATGTGTGCACTTTTTATCTAGCTTTCTTGTCTAAATGTGATCTCATTTAACCAACATGAAGATCTTTTTTTAAAAAATGGTTCTAGTTACAGATTGGTTGTTTACAACGATTCAGATTTTGAGCACTAAACGCTCATCATGAGGTTGAAGTAGTCTCTTGACATTAATTGTATGAGTCTATCTCTTACAATTTATTTCAGGGGACGTGCTTGTAATTCTTCAACCTCATGATGAGAATTTAATTCGCAAAATCCAGATCATTCTAAATAACAAATCTATGAATAGAACCATCATTTACAAAAAGTCAATGTACATAATCACCCCACCATCTTCATTTCTATTAACATGATAACTTGTTTTTTAGATGTCTTGTTTGAAACATTTTTGATAAATTTATGAAGAGAATGTGTGAAAATACGAGATATTTGCTTACAGTTTAGATTTGTTTTCTTTTGTATTATGTTGATTTTTAAAAAATCATTTATAAATAAAAACCTGTATTTTTATTTATTGTATTTTTATTTTTGAAAAGAAGTTCAAACTTCCGGTTCTAAACCATGTAAATTTTTGAGCCGACTAGTTTTTCGTTTTTCCAAACTGTTATAGTATATTTTCTCATATAATAAAACAATATTTTTGATAAATCTACATTGTGTTGTTTAACTGTTTGTAATTTACAAAAGGAAAATTTTACTTGTTATAAAATTTGTAAAAGCCCTATTTGTTTGTACTTTTAATGAATTAAATGTAAAGAATATGTCTCGCTCATTTTATTTACTATTCCTTGCTTTATTAAATCACAGCTATGATTCTATTTTAGTCTGTTTTATATTTTGGCACAGATCTTGGCGATGGTAGATCATTGGAGGTTCTTCTGCTGACAACTTTTCTATGGGTCCCAGTCCGATGAAAGTTCAATGAGGTCACTTATTGGCCCAGAACCATTTTGTTGCATAATATACTGCCAAAAACGAGGATCCGTTAGACAATGGACTAAAAACAGTCCCTCAGGATAGAGGCATGCGAAAATGTTAGTACTACAGAACTACTAAATTGAGGGCATGATTAGGACTAGAAGCCTAGTTGCATTGCTACTGGGCACTGCCGAATTTGAAGGCATATTTATAGAATCAGAGTGGTAGAAACAAGCCTGTTTAGGTATTTCTAGGAAGAAGAAGAGACACCGGAACATATTACTCTCTAAGTGCCAATGTAGGCTTTGATTCCTAGATCTGGGAGAGGAAAAGTTCGGGCTTCAGTAAAGAGGTAGTAAAGCGGCATATTCCTTTTCCATTCTTTTTTTTGTTTGTTTGATATAAAAAATATTTCATAATTGAATCATATAAAATGTAAAAACTAACTAAACAATTATTATAAGTAAAAGAAGAGTAATTTTTGTCACACAAAAGGGCTTACGTCCAAATACAGAACTGTTTTAGCTAATTAGGTTAGTTGTATATGTGTAAAAGGCGATGGAGGAATATCGAGTATCATGTAGACCCTAACTGGGTGAATGGTATGTAGATAGGAGTGAATGAATTAACGTGAATGGATTTGGATCTGCATGGGTTGGGTGCAGAATTGACCTAGCTGTTGACAGCAACCCCCCCACCTTGGAGGCTGGACGGATAAGATAGGTCTGCCCCCAGGGTGGGTGATTCTGGGGAATTGTCGGTGGATTACGAGAAGCGAATAGGCTCAACTTGACGTATGTACGTCCATATGTGGATTTGATTCTATATAAATCTAAACCCAAAAGAACCATTTTATAAGACTTTTTCATGAATAAAGCTAAAAGGGTTATGTTGGAATTTGAACTCTATCGATCCAGACCAGATATCCTACGGTCACTCTCCATGTCCCTGAAATTTGTATTCTATTAATAAAAATAAAGCATTTTTTTCGCTATTTTTCACTGTCCGTTTTGCTTCTGTTCAGTTACCATCGTCAAACTGATTTCATTCCGAACTAATTCCCTTCTCGTTATTTTACTGCCTCCTTTTAGATTAAAAACTTTAAATTGTTTTATCCTCCTACTTTTACGGCTCCCTATTTGCCTACAATCCCTAGGCTTCAAATCGCTTCCAATTTCATTGCTTCTTTCAAATAGTTTTTTTCAATTTCCTGAGAGAAATTTCCTATCGTTTTATTTGTGCAAGTAAGTGATCAAAATCGGTAACAAAGTAGCGCGAGTGCCGCGTCAAGGACCGTTCTTCAGCCGTCACGTCGCAACGGGTTTGGACGGAGCCCTGAAGGGAGGACAAGCTTGGATAAATTTCCATTTTCTCTTTTACTTTTTTGGTCAAAATATAAATTGGCATTTGTCCCAGCAGCAGTTTCTGTCCGGCTGTGGTTACGAGCAGGGTACGATGCGGCCAAGAGTAAGTCCGTTTTTATTTTATTGATTATTTTTTCCTCTATTTCTATACTTATTCTATTGAGACCGACGCTGGCTAAAGATTAATAAATCGCATTTCCACAAAATGATATTCCATAAGACAGGCGTTTGGATAATTCTTCCAAAAAAATGTTAGGGAATTTGTAGGGCAATTAGCAACAAACCTCACAGGTTTAACAACGTTCAGGAAGTTAATGTTGGTAATAATTTCCAGCATCTAGGTGGGTGCTGTGTAAAAACGACCACTGGTTATTACCAAACTTCAAACTCTTAAACGGTTTAACCCTTCTTTTTATTACCTATTTTCGTTTTAGCTTAAACTGTCAGATTAATGGAAAAAGGACAAGTAGTGGATTGGACATTCGATCATTTAAGTTTATGTTCCCTGCATACTCTGAAATGTTGCAATTATAGCATTAAATTAAAATGTAAATCCCTGCTTCTGAATATTATATTTATATTAAAAAATCAGGGATAAGGCCAGTTTGAAAAAAAAGAAAAATTCTCATTTCCATCTCCAGGAATATACACTGACATACACACATTGTCCAAAATCCACACATTGTTAACTTGATTTGAATATATTTTTACATATTAATCAACGTTTCACGTTTTTTAAAAAAATAAGTCTGTCTAAAAAAGTTTAAAAAAAGTAAATTTCGAAAGAAAAGTAAAACAAAAAAAAAAAAAACGGACAGATAAATTTTGTTTTAGATTTTTACTTAACGTTTCAATATCGCATATTTCCTCCTCTTGCCTTAATTACATCTCCAAGACGCCTCAGCATACTTTCTATCAGTCTGGAAATGCCTCTTTGATGAAGGTTAGCCGATTCTTCACGAAAAGTCTTTTCAAGACCGTGCAGCGTATCAGGAAGTGATGGACGTGCTTTTATTCGTCTTTTGAAGGTGTCCCATAAATGTTCGATGGGGTTCAAGTCTGGAGAACGGGCTGCCCAGGTTAAGACCCTGATGTTATGCGGTCGAAGGTACGTTTGTACTATGCAGGCGACATGTGGACGAGCATTATCGTGCATTAGAATAGAATTGTCGCTGATTTCATCGAGGATAGGCAACCCATGGCTCTGGGAAAAATTACAGGATTCGTCCTTTCTCCGTCCTCTTACGGGGCGAACAGCCAATCCATGCTGATTTAATTTTCTTCGAGCAGTGCTTTCAGAAATTTGGACCCCTCGAACTTCCTGGAGCTGTTGAATCGTTTGAACAACAGTAAGGTGCTGGTTTCGCAAAATTCTCAAAGTCAAAAAAGGTCATCCTGTGGTTCTGTTACCCTAGGGCGTACAGAACCGGGCCTTCTTTGATAAAGCCCAGTTTCTCGAAGACGTCTAACGAAGTCTCGCAGTGTTTCGTAGGGAACTCTGGTCACAATAGCCGCATACCTGATGGAACATCCATCATTAATAAGTGCCACACCCCGCGCAGCATCCTCAGCACTAAGTGGCATGTTTAAGTTTAAAAATTGAAATTAAGAAAACAAAGATGAAAAATGAACAGTTTATTGTTTCAGAATTCAAATGAGACTGAATAAACATTTTAAATTCCGTAAAAAGTACACATGATACTATTTTTCCGACAACGAAGCTAAAATTATTTTCAAAACCATTGAAGAGTTGTCATATAATTATGTCATTCTTTATTTTAATTTTAATCTTTAGCATTTTTCATAGTAATTTTTCATGTAATAAAACTTTTGTCATCACTACATAATTATCCTCTCCCTTGGCTTTAAATCTTGATTTTTCCCTTTTTGTTATTATTTTTAATAGCCCTTGGCATAGGGAAGGTTTATAACACGGAATCAGTTAAGGAGTAAGAAAAGCCGCAACGAAATTAAGCGTGAAAATGAAACGTTATTTTTTGTTCTGAGGAGATCATTCAGTTGTAGGTAAAGATCATTTAACTTTAACCTTAAACTAACTTAAACTTTGAAAGTCCAAATTTCTTGAGCTCTGGGGCCAAACTTGCTCAGACTGGACAACCCGGACCCCGTGATTTTCTCATCATACAACGGTCTTTAGGGGCTTTTGTCTATCATACTCCATTACGAAAAATATCCATGAAAATAGAATGTGCCGATTCAACCAAAACGTATCGCATAGCGCAGTTTTTGTGAAATTCGTAAATCTCGAGGAAGCTTTGACACAGTGTGTTTTCGAAATTCCTCAAAGATCTTGTTAGTTAAAATGCTTAAATTTTATAAGTGTATGTCAGTGAACGGCAAGTGTTAGATAAAGGCTCAGGAGATGACTCATTCTTTTGACTAACACAAATGTTAAAAACACGAGCATAAACTATCGGGTTGTCCGGAAAATAATGCAGGATTTTAAGTTTTCATTAAAAAAAATCTATATAAAATATTCTGTTTACGTTTACAGGATTANATTATTTTGATTAAAGAACATTGCTTTAAAGTAACTAGTTTCTTTTTTTTTGTTTAATACCAAAATCCTGCATTATTTTCCGGACAACCCAATATATGATGAAAAATGAATAAGAATCAGAGAAAATTGATCATTGTCCTTTGTTTTTCGAGAAGGAAATTAAAAATAGTATCTTTTCGACGGAATGAGTTAGACAATTAACATCAGACAGTCTATTGTTTATAAAATAAAAAATAGCATATAATCTCCCAAGGTTATGTTTTGAGAGGCTTAGAAAATAATCAATAAGAATTACAAATACTTAGAAATATTTTTTTGTAGTCCGGGAGAGTCTGCTGCAGTTTATAACACCAAATTTTAGGAAGAAACAGGAAAATAAAGGAACAAGTTTTTAAAAATACATTGTGTTGTCCGGAAAATAATGGAGGTTTTCATGTTTTTCTTTCAATTACCCCTCTATATAATATGCTGTTTACGTTTGATGGATTATTTTTTGTAACGTCAACAATTTTTAATCCTCTTCCAAAGAAAATGGTTTGTTTACCTCAGAAGCATTTCGTTACTTGGGAATAATTCAGTCTTTACGCGTGTTTTTCGCCTAATTTCGTTTTATGACTTTAAAATCGGCCGGAACGGTGCCCAAACGGCCAAAACATTAATTATATCTGGGGCGATAGCAATGTGCGTGAGAACACCGATCAGAGATGTTTTTAAAAATTGCGAGAAGGAGACTTTAGCCTTGAAGTTAAAGAAGTTCGTGACGTTCTGCGAGATTTGTTTGAAGAAAATCCCATAACAATTGTTCGAGTTCTTGAAGATTGAATGGACCGTCGCTGACTAGCAATTGGAAAGGAAAAAGCTTGAAAGTTGGGTTCTTTATTCATTAAACGACCGCCAAAAAAATCATCGCCACACTTCTTTGCCGAAACAGA